CCTTCCCTTCCCTTCCCTTCCCTTCCCTTCTTCCCCATCCTTTCCTTTCCTTTAAACTATTTTAGTTATCCTCCTTATTTGCCTTCTAACTGTGTATACAGCTCTCTCTTTCTCTCTCATGCATAGCTTAATCACGACTGTAAAGAAAAAAAGCCAACACCAAACACACAAAACAATAATGGATAAACAAAATGGAAGGTCTATAAGTGTATTTTGATGCCTTTATATAGGATCTGGGCATTCTAATCCCTCCTTTCTTTCTTTAGCTACTCTAACATCGAAAGAGAGGTTCAACTCACAGATCACATATGCACACTGTTGTTGAGCCATATAGGATACTTACATTTCATTCTGACGTCAAAGCCTGAAAGTTTGACTTTGTTACGTTTGAATTTCCATCAGGTTCAGTGACTTACTGGCTGATGCATCTTTGCAATACAAATTCTGTGCAACCATACTATAAACTTTTTGCCTTTCTGCTAAGCCCTGCTAGAACTACCTTATTTCCTGGAGGCTACAGTATTCCTTTAAGCTGTACACAAGCTGTTGAACTCCAGTGGCACTTCAAGTTATATAACAGGCCCTCACTTTTTCACCCTAGAAATTGCTGTAAAAAAAACACATGCACACATACATATGCACAAACACAGAGTGTATGCACATGCATGCACAGAAAAATAGATAACACTACTGTCTATAACACTCCAACTCTTAGTATTTAAAGATACTGGGAAAGATGGGCAGAAAAGAGAAGAGAAGCCTGGAACAGACATTTCTTACCATGTGCCACCCAGCCATGTTTACACTGATCACAGGTTCTCAGGTTAATCTTCCCTGGCTGAAAACATTCACATGTGCAATTTACCAGTGTACAGCGGATGGCCTGGAAAAAGAAACAGAAAACACATATTAATGTCTGTCTGCCTTCTTGTACAAATCTGTTGTGAGAGCTAGAAGGGTATTAACTGTACAGCAAAACCCAGCCTTCTAACGTTCAAAGAAAGCATTGCTCATTCTTTTAAGTAGAGAATAATTTTCTTTCAAAAACATACATCAGTATCCCTGAGCAATGACAACTAAAATGCTTATTCAATAATAACATAGTCTGTTGTCCCATGGAGATGAATACATTCCTAAAGTCTTTAGAAGAATTGCTCTATTTCCTCTAGGAAAAAAAAAAAAAAGTGGTACGATGAGGATTCTGTAGGTGTTCTACAAATTTCCTGGTTTTGCATCAACTGCCTGAAGGAAAATGTTACTAGTGATGTCTTACTACAGCAACATAACAGCTTGATGAAAATAAAGAGTAAAATGAGGAAACAAAAACATACAAAAAGGAAAATTACTGATCTCTTTTCCCTTCCCCCATGGTATCCAAATGTTATTCTCAAGTTTCCTTTTTGGGGATCACATAAGATATAACTCTGCCACAGAACAGAGTCATGGATTTCATGTGTTCCCAAAATAGGATAAAACGATCAAGGTGCAAGAACAGGGCTGGTTCATAAAACATCCTGTAACTTTCCTTTGCATCTATCACTTTCTCCAATATCTAGGCATAGCCCTTTACCTCTTAGCACTCCCTATTTCTCAAATTTCTATTTCTCTGTTTTGCAAAAGATGAAACTATTTCAAAGCAGTGATGCTAAAACTCCAGTCCCATGCAGAGATCTAAAATTTGCTTTACAAATGCACATTATTAATCTCTCATCTCCCTTTTTAAAATTATTTGAAAAATTACACTGGTTTACTTTAACAGGGGCTAGCTATGTCCACAGAAAAGTGAATATAAATTGAATGAGACTCTTCTTAATGTGTAACAGACATATGTTTTTAAATAGTGTAGAAGACGACCTGTGCACTTCAAACTGCTACTAATAAATTTATGGCATGCATTTAGATGTAATTTGCATGGAGATTTCTGAGACAGAGAGGCTTATTCTGATCATTCACAGATTAACAATCTACTGTAACTACCAGAGCTGCCAGGAAAAGATATCTCTATAGATTTAGATGCAATCAATGATTACTTGGGGGCTAAGGTGGGGGAAGGGTGCTTGGTACCTATGGCCACTGAGATACAGAAGCATTATGAAGGCTCTGGCCTCTTCCAAACAATTAACACCCCACCACACACCCTCTTTCCATACCAAAAAAGAATTACCCTAACTATACTGGCATAAAGAAAATTGGATTCAACTTTAGCTTGGCCGAGCTGACAATGAAAAAGGTTCAGAGTTATTTTAAATGTTTTATCTATTTACTTATTTATCTGCATCGGACAGCAATTTAAAGCCATTTGTAGTTCACAGATCCACTGAAAATTTGTATTTTTTTGACAAATTTCTGGTACAAGAGTCCTTTCTCCTTCCTATATTATCTGCTCTTTTACTATCTTTTACTCTCAAAAACCTAGTGGGGAAAAAAAAAACCTGCTCTATTATGCCTGACACTTCAGGGCCTCAGTCTCAATGTCACCTGTCCAATTACTCATTAGCTAGGTTATAAAACACTGCTGTATGTATGTGTGATTAAAAGAATTAGTAATATGAAATATAAGGGTACCAAAGAAGTGCTGACCGTGCAAGAATAATCTATGTGTTTGTGGGTTATGAGAAAAAAATTCTCCTGAAAGGTCCTGTTTCATGTTCAATAGTTTATTGACTCAGTAATATATCAGGTCTCCACCGGTCAGTAATGGTGTTCTTTCTCTAATATGTTCATTAATTAATGAACTCAGTAATTAATTGTACTGCAAGAAGAGCTTACAAAATGGTATTCTTATTTTACCATAAAAGGTTTCCTCACATTCACCACCTTTTTTAAATCTCTGCACCAATGTCACACACAATTGTATTTGATGTTATTGGGTCTTGTTCATGTGTCACTTACAGTATGTATAATAGTAGTAATATAGTGTATGTACACATACTAGATGAAACTGTGCCATTTGGTAGAGTTGCTTTATTAAAGCTCATCAGCATTTCCATTAGAACTCTACCTATTTTTGGCATAGAGGTTAACAGGTTGCCTGTAAAAACTGGATTCAACTTGAACCTGAAATACAATGTTTCAGCCTCAGAGTGAGTTTTATTACACACATTCAAAAATGATCCATTTAGTCATCATAAATTATAAGATGGGTGGAAAAAAGTTTGGACGTTTCATGTTTCTTTCCCTCTTCCCTGAGTTAAAGAGTCTTGATGGTGTAAAGTGTTTAAGGATATTAACTAATTAGTAAGATTTCTATCTTTTATATATAACCCCCACAAATCATGCAAACTTTTCAGAAACTTGAAAATATCACCTTGTTCCTCAAATAACTAAATCTGAAAAGTCTTCAAAAAGAGCTATGCATTTTTATAAAGTAATACAGAATGTCATGAGAAACTCCAAAAATAAGCAGCATGGCCAAAGCATTCAGCCTGGCCTTAGCTGGCCACTTTTTCTGCAAAGGGTGTGTTGATGCCAGGTTGTAATCTGGTTTCAGTAGTTTCCCATCCCATCATGCATGAATACTTCTGAGTGACGAGGACAACCCCTCAAGCTGCAAGATGCTCATTTGGGACTGGAAAAACTCATATTCTAGCTCACATTCTGGCATGATCTTGGGAAAATTACTTTGTTAGCCTGATGCCTACATTCCCTAAACAATAACCAGACAGAATGATAGTGAAGTGTTCTCGTCAGGGTAAAACCACAAATTGTGAGGCACTCTAGAGTGATGAAGGCTATTGAAAATCTCAAGCAGAATTTAGTCTTTACTTCAAAGATTCATTTTTCACTTTATGCAGTTAATCCTGAATCACTGTAACTACCCCAGATCACTACAATATCCAACAAGAAACTTGGTGGTGAGAAGATTCAAGATGCCAGGAATCTTAGAATCATAGAATGGTTTAGGTTGGAAAGGACCTTGAAGATCATTGAGTTCCAACCCCCCTGCCATAGACGGGGACACCTCCCACTCGACCAGGTTGCCCAAGGCCACGTCCAGCCTGGCCTTAAACACCTCCAGGGATGGGACCTCAACAACCTCCCTGGGCAAACTGTTCCAGTGCCTTACAACCCTCAAAGTAAAAGAATTCTTCCTAATATTTAATCTAAACCTGCCTTCTTCCATGTTAACATTCATTAACAGGACAGAAAGCATTGTCTTTAAAGATTTTCACAATGCAACCAACATATGCCCTCAGCCTTGCAGAGATATGCATCTGAATTATTATACAGTATCTTTCCACTGGTTTTCAATAGCATTTAGCTTGGGCATACAAGTCACTGATGGTTTGTGCAACAGGCTCAGGAATCACTCAGAATGGCAGCGGGAGATGAATGTGGCATAGATTGACCTAAGAATCCAAAGTTTAACACAGCCCTGCCATTCCCCAGGAGCAGGACTTTATGTTAGAGAGAGGACAGAAGTTCAGTAGCTGGTGTGCTTATAGGTAGCAGCGTGGATTGGTGTAACTGGGGTTGCATATCTGTTACTGCTTCATCTGAAAGAGTGAGGAGTAGGGATAATAAAAAGTTCCTGAGTGAGTCTGCAGCAGCTAAATATTGTAGCCATTGTTCAAACCTGTTAGAAAATAGGTATAAAAATCCAGGTGTGTAGAAATGCTAAACCTTTGCCAGAAAATGCTTCTGAAAGAGTACTGCTAGGTTTTCCAGAAGTCATGCGCTGTAATTCTGCCTGCACAATGTATTGCTAAAACGTTTACGTAATGGGACCCT